GTACACACTCTACATCATTTGGGGTAAACTCATACTTCTATTATTATCAAAGTATTATTTGTAATTAAGAGAGATCAAAATGTTATCATTCCACCCTCTTGCACTACCCCTTTTAAGTTCTAACAAGTCAATAATACTTTTTAGACTAATATTATTATTAAACTAATAAACTAATATAAGGAAATATATATAGAGTAAATAACGTGGAAAAGCAGTAAAAAAATCTAAAATATTCTAAAATACACAGACCGAAAATCCACCGGGTTTTTAAAAACGATTCGTAATTTGATCATTTATTTAATTTAAGGGGTGGTAATTTAAAATAAAACGGGTAGTTATTTCGAAAATGGTTACATGTTTGGATGGTAATTAAAAAACTTTCCTAATAATAATAATAGTTCAATTATATCCGTGCATGGCACGGGTCTTACACCAGTAGTAGTATGTAAGAAAATGTCAATTAAAGGTATGCATAATTTGTTTATAATTACTATAATACTCATAATTCATACGATCTACTCCGTTCATAAATAGGCCGTGCATGGCAAGAACTTAACAAATTTTGAGTACAAAACCTAACATTAATAAATTTACCTTGTAATGCACATTTGTAACTAGCTCCACCATGGTAATTAAAATTCTTTTGCTCAATGATGAGTGTCATTTATGGCACTCATTTGGTTCTTTTTAGGGTGAATTTCATGTTATTCTATAGCTCTTTTACTTAGCTTTTCCTTGATTTTACTCTTTATATCTTTTAGTTTGCATTTTCTTAGTTGTATTTCTTTCTTTATGCATTTCTTGGTTTATTTTGTTATGTTCTCTTTTATTTGCTTGTTTTCCTTTATTTTTCAGGTTAAGGTCGTTATCCAAGTTTTCCGAGGCCTCTTCCCAAGTTTGGCATTGATTAGGATGTCTAGGGTTCTCCATTTGAAGCTCAAGCATGGAGAAGTGCAAGTTCCTAAAGTCCTTGAGATGTGCATTCAAGCCATGGGGGCATGATTTCTAGTTTTGAACCCGCAAACATGGAGTTTAGAAATTGCAAGGTCCCGTGTTTATCAAGAGCACACATTTAGTGGAACGCACGAGGATCATCGGCATGATAGGGAAGAAGTTTCCCCTGCTCCCAGGCGCGGGCGCGCGCGGCTATGGGGCAGCCGTGCGGCCTGGTGGCGCGGGTGCGCCTCCCTCGGGCGCGGGCGCGCCTGTCTGGTTATCTGTTCCGTACCCAGATTTGCACGGTCGCGCTCTCCCTTATGGTTGGCCGCGCCTGTATGGGTTTATTTGGGGACGATCTAGCTAACGTCTCTTAGTTAGTTTTACTATATATATATATTTTCTTTCAATTTTTAGAGAGAGAAGGAATTAGAGAATCAATTTCAGAAATTAGAATAGAATTAGATTTAGAATTTTAGAGAGAGAAACTCTAGATTGTAGAGAGAGAAGTTCTTGATTGATGATTGTTAATTCTAGCATTGTCTCCATTGAATTGAAGCAAGTTTGTAAGGATTTCTTTTACTTTAATGCAATTTTTAGCTTATCATTTCAATTGCTTTGTTGATTGTTCAAGTTTGAATTGAATTTGCGATTGAATTAGTTCTATTGATATGATGATGATGAAATTGTTGATTAGCTTAGTTTTGATCTTAATTTCAATGGATTGTGAGTAGTTCTCTTGCTAGGGGAATGGTGAAGCATGTATGAGTGATGCATTGATGCTAATTGGGCGAAATTGATGGAGTTGATGTTGCGATTAAATTGTTTCATTGATTAAGTGCATGTGTGTGATTAATTGAAAAGTAGCTAACTTTGATTGTTACACTAGAATTCATTGTAAGCTTGCATTGATACGGAAAATTGATTTGTGGCTTGCTTTTGTCGATTGAGTAGGTTTGCAAGGTTCCTAGTTAGGGTCTCTCGTAGTTGGCGCTAGCTTGACCTCTAGGAGATTAGCCTACCTTACTCTCTTGATTGCTTAATTGATTTTCCCTCGCAACACTTGACTTAGTCATCTCCAATCCCAATGAGCTATATCTGTTCTGAGTACATGCGGATCCTAACCCTAGTGCTTGATAAATTTGATTCCATTTTTATTGTTTTGAATACACACACCTCGCTTTATTGCTTTGAAATAGATTAGCTTTGACTTCAGCATTCACCTCCCATTCCCAGTGGTTCGACCCTCAACTTACTCTATGCTTTGTATAGGGGTGTGTTGAGAGATTATAAATTTTGTTTTGACCAAGGGTAGATTAGTGTTCAACGACCTAGTCTCGCCCTAGATCACTCAAGCATTACCACAAAATACCGACATTTAGTCCCCATAAATTTAAACATTGAAATTAAATCTACAAAGTTTAAACATTGAAATTAATTTAAAATTTTAATTTAATTTAAAAATCAGAATCAATGTTCTCAGTTCGGCATCTGATTATTCCAGTTCCCCATATTGCTTAATGTCATCATCTTCTTCATTTTCAGCCTCTTTGTCACCGTCTTCCTCATTTGCTGGCCCAAGAACTTGACCCTCTTCTTCAATATTTTCGCTGACTTCACCAATAACCTCTCTGTTTTCTCGCCCCCCCCATCTTCCCCGTAGTACGACCCAACCCTTAATCCATCTCTAGTATTACATCATCTACCCTCCTAACAGCCTCATTCATTTCTTCAATTATATTACACGTGCAAACTTCGGACGCATTTTCCTCATTCTTTTCTTTCGTTCCTTCAATTCTAATACCCTCTTCACTCGTGCTGCCTCCAGTTTTACCAACTCCTCCGCTAGAAATTCAATTCCCTCTTTCAAGGTAGTAGCTTCAAGTTTGATTGAACTTGAACCGCCATTGTTAGCCATGGTGGTATATTTAATGTTGAAAGTTTTTTTTTTTTTTTAAAAAAGAGAGAGAGAGAGAGAGAAATAATACAGAGAAAGAGACAGCGAGTTAATGGGAGAATCCGAGAACGAATGAATGAACTGTTTAGATGTTTTCTCTACTTTACTGTCAATTTTCTAAGTTCCAAAAGCTATCACTTCACGAGTCACGGGTCATGACCCAGACATTTGGACTTCTCAATACATTTTTGACGGTTGGATTAAAATGGTGTACAAGTAACATTTGATTAGGTAGTGAAGTGGGAATAATTTTCAGCCAAATATGAATTCTATAAGTTGGGTGTAACATCCAAAGCAATGCATTTAATTTGCAGCTGAATCGACCGCTAATGTGTCGATACATTTGAAAAGTGTCTAATTACTTAATTAATTTGGTGTTCAGTTACATGGTTAAGGGACAAATATTTTGATTTAAATTTTAAAGATTAAACGAGCCTAAAACAACACAATAGTAAAATCTTATGTCCATTAAGACGACTATTATATAAAATCCGAACATCATTCTAAAATCCAAACGAATCCAACTCTTGTAACATTGTAATTGTTCAACACAATTATGATTCCAACTTTAATGCACAATCTATTTGCAGTGTAGTCGCACCCAGTTGAACGTTAATGCACACCAATTCAACAAACTATGTACGTACCATTCAAATAGCTTAATATGCAACTTGAACACACGTTTGATTTAAATAATTAACAAATCATTAGAATAAGTGCTTTATGGAACTACTTAGGGCCCGATCTGATTTACCCTACCGAACTGAACTGAAATGAATATTTTATGAGAAAGGAAATTAGGAACTGAACTAAATTAAACTTAACTAAAAATAAGTTGGATAGATTAGGTCATTAAACTGCATTAGAATAAGATTTCTTGTCTGGCATATGAGATTTATATATAATGTGTAATAACTATTTGAATGACTCAACTTCAAATTTCATAGAAATCATTATTGCATTTAATGTTCAGTTCAGTTCAGCCTAGTTTAGTAAATGTGAACGACCTTACTTAGGTCATTATCAAATTTATATTAATACTTTTAAAACACTCTATAAACTATACACATAAAATATAATTTTGGAATGTTTGCTATTAAGATTTTAAGGCAAGGCATGTAATCACAATTCACGAGTTTGTTTTAACCTTTAAGTTTTAATATTTCTGTAGAGCACCATTAAAACATTACCTAACTACAAGAAAATTCGATCTAGTATAGTGCCCATCTTAACATTTCACTATCTGGTATAGTTACAAAAAGCATTTTAAAAGAGATGGGTATTGGCTTGGGTTGAAAATAAATTCAATTCACCATGCTATAAAAATACAAGGGATAGGGCCGGGGTAAAGTAAGTACACCCTAACAACCCTCTAAAACCTTTAGCAATCCCTATTTTAGTTATAAGAAAGTCATATTAACAGAATACTACACAGACGAATTTGATTTTCTGTAACGCTTGATAGTTACTAGATTTTACCTTACGAACGAAGTAATTTTGTTGACAACTTACATTACACACTGCCAATACTTTCAAAGCTATAAAAATAAAAATGGATCGAAAGAGCATGTGTCCAGTTCAAACAAGTTAAAACAATTAGAACATGTGAAACTGTATTATTTTTTAAAAACTATTAAACAACTTAATAAGATAAATTAAAAAAATTAACCAGCTAAATAAGTCGTAGGTAAAATAACTTGCTTGTTTAAAGCGGATATCACTCAAAGTTTGTACTTACTCTGTTTCTTTTTAGTTGACAAGTTTTTTAGTCACGTATGTAAATGTACAATTTCAACTATTCATATCTTTAATTTCTGATAAGCAAAAATTATAAAAATTTGGTATTTAGAAAATATATATATCGTGACGATTCTAACAAAATCCCGCATCCCTATATTTTTCATTATCTATCAACCATAAAATACGGTCATAAGGAAGTGTGTGAATAGTACTAAAGTCAAAACGTGTCAAATAATAAAAATTGGAGGTAGTATTATCTTTTACAATTTTTTCTATATATATATATATATATATATATATATAGAATAAATATCATGTGAGAACCAAGGTGAATAATGGTAACTAGGAACTCATCTAAGCTGTCCATCGCGCTTCATCTGACGGCCTATATTACGCGCACCATATTAAGGGTATTTTGGTAATTATGCTTGTTGAAAGACCTCTATTCTAAAATTCTCTCTACGTTCTTACTTTCTCCCTCTACGTTTTTACTTTCTCTCTCTACATCTGGGCGCTGAAGGCGATTCCATTGTTATTCGTTTTTGTTTTTCGATTTCATCGATTTTCTTATTTGATTTCGTAAATTCTTCGTTGTTCTTCTGCTATTTTGGTTTTTTTTTTTGTTGTGTTTCGAACATTCTTGAGAGGTAATTATTAGATTTTTTTTTTTTATTTTGTTTATGTTCTTTATTGATTCACATGTACTTAGGGTTTTTGCTTTGTTTTTTTTCGATTTTGTTTTCACGTTCTATTATAATTGATTTTTCAATAATTCAGTTAGTTTCTTCTAATTAGTCTCTGGTTGATTTAATTAATTGCACACTAAGTGTTGGATGAAATGTCTGACTTAATGGAATGAATTTTATCCTATGTTACTAGATGAGGTGTAATTAGCATTATAAATAATTTGACAACTGTGATTATCCTAGTAGGGTTTTAAGGGTTGGGGGTGTGCAAGGTTATAATGAATATTCCGGTGATAAATTTTTCTGAATTTAAGTTTGAAGTGTTATATATTATGTGTTGATAATCGTGTTTTCTTTTGAACCTTAATTGTTATATGTATGTGTTTGCAATTTAAATTAATTTGAGCAGTTCTTTGATGTACTTGGAACTGCTGATATGCACTAAACTTTAAAAATAATTTGAAATTCTGATTGTTTTAGAAGTTTATGTCAATGTTCCGATTGTTGATGATGATGATTTTTAAATTATTATGTTGATATTGACTAGCAGCTCATCCTTTTCACAATTTTCTTTTGTGTGTTATCCCACGTAATTTAAGCTTAGTGAAGTATCAAATAGTTGGGAAATTTTAGATTGTTGTTTGCATATGGTGAATGCTCAGGACCTAGTTATTCAGCTTATTGGTTAATTTGTGCTTCATTGCACTCTAGCTCATAGGCTAATCTTTTTGTTCAGTTTTCTCTTGCTATTTGTTACTCTGTATACGGATGTGTTATGTGAATACATTCACTTCTAGTAACACAAAGGCGGACTTTACTCAACAATGAGGTTTAGTAGGCAATTAGACTCGCTAGTTGGTTTCTGTCATTGTTTAGATTGAGGTTTAAACTTTGATTTCTTGGTATATTGACCCTGTGATCTTCATTGTATGTTACGAAGTATTCCTTTCAATCTTGAATGGGATATTAGGAACCAATTTAAGTTTGTGACTGATGCACTCAAATGATAAATTTAGGATTCTGATATAGGCATTGATGTTGTCATGGGAAAAAGAAATCTATACTTTAGCCCTTCCTCAACCTTAGCTTAACTGTTGAGTTATGATGAATCGGTATTATTTTGCTTGTGTGGAGAGTTGTTGTTAGGTTGAAGTATCTTGGGTATTGCAAAAAAAATTTATATCCTTGAACATGGTGTGATTGCTCTGGCTATATGCATTTAGGGAGCAAGATTGTTTGTGAGTTAAACCTGATTCTTTGGCTCTTAGCTTGCACTTTCTTACATACTTGCATAACAATAGTCTTACCAATTCTTTATCTTCTCAGGTACAAATACTTGGTCTTAGTGGCCGGTGGCATTGTTATATCTTCCTTTCTTGTCGTCCTAATTGATGTCATGCACCGTCTCAAAGAAGGAAAACCTTGCATGTCTAAAAACATCTTTATTGTTTGGGATATCAAAAACTCCGATGAGCTTCCACTTCTGTCAATGATAAATATGGAGTCCATAGACCCCATTTTTTGTGATGCCTTAAATCTCGACATTAAAATTTAAGTCACACAACAATCAGAACCTAAACTGGTAAGTTACCCTTATGTTGTTATCTTTATCCCTATATATTGTATTATGTTTTGCACTTCTCGTGTGCATTTTTCTGTATATATTTGTAACAGAAAGAGGGGAAAGAATTTGGACCTATGAACACTTGTACATATCCTTTCTCAAAACGCTCTGCTATATCAGTTTTGGTTGGTACTAGAGATAACATATGGTCTGGAATTTACATCACTGCTTCTTCAATTGACTTCTTGGTCTTCCTGAGTTTCTTGGATGCTATAGTTTGATACCTGGATCTGGTTATAATTGATATTTTGAAAAAGTAGTGTATTTAGAAGTAATGTGTGCTATCAAATATGCAATATGAACAAACACATAACTAAATGATTGCGTTAGGAATCAATTGGAGATGGTGGCTAAATTGTCAGTCATTACATGATTTATTTTGCTGTAAGGAAGAGAGCAGTAGTTTTTGTATTGTGTTTGATTGACTCTAATTATAATGCTGGAAAACAAGAAATTGTACTTCGTATACTATATAGATGTTTTGATTTACTTTTGATATTTTTCATTTATTTTAAGGTTTTTTTTTTTTTTAAAAAAAAAACGAATGTTAAACATATACTAGCCTACTGGCTTAATCGGGAGAGCATTGTGCAATTGCACAATCATGTGGGTTCGAATTCCATGTAGGTTCATTTGTATTTAGTTAAAAAAATATTTTATTTAATTTAACTTAATTTGTATATACTTTTAGTACTTAGAAACTCAGGCTCAATTATCCAAGGATCAAAGGTATGATAGAAGCTAAGGTTTTATAATCTTATACTACATCATGTGGGTTCGAATCCCATGTAGGTTCATTTGTATTTAGTTAAAAAAATATTTTATTTAATTTAACTTAATTTGTATATACTTTTAGTACTTAGAAACTCAGGCTCAATTATCCAAGGATCAAAGGTATGATAGAAGGTTTTATAATCTTATACTACATATTTAAGCATTCATACCAATTAAAGATTGTCAATAAGCATTCCTTCTTAGCAATTTCCTATTACTTAGAATTAGAGAAGGTGAATTTCATTTTTATTTACTCTAACTTATTTTGTATCTGCTTTTATTACTAGAAATTCAAGCTCACTTATCTAAGAGTTAAAGATATACACATGATGGTAAACTAATGCCCTGTTTTTTTCTTAGTAATCATTGCCCTAGATTGAAAAGCTGTTGTTGTCCCATGCTCTAATTTGAACCTTTATTTTATAAGTTTACTAATTATCTTTTTAGTAGATATAATTTACTTTTGAGTATAGACTATTTACTTTTAAGTATATCATTTACTTTTGTGTCAATATCGTTTATTTATTTTGATGCAATTTTAATTTACTTTTTAGCGCTCTTTATTTAGTTTTAAGCTATTATGATTTACTTTTGAGATATAATTATTTACTTTTGATTTCTTTTTGAGCTACTTTAAATTACTTTAGAGATGATTTTTGAATTACTTTCTAATTTCTCTATTTACTTTTAAGATAGTTTGATTTACATTATTAATTTTTCTTTATTTACTTTTAAATGTTATTTAGAAAATATTTCCAACTATCAAACCTTTTTGCATCATTGATTTGTGATATTAAAGAAAGGTGAGATTCTTATAAGTTGAAATAGAGCTTAGTTCTTGACATGTAGCTTATTTACTAGTATATAAACTTCTACTATTTTGATATTTACTTTTTTTTTTTATTTACTTTTAAAATATTTTAAATAAATTTAAAATGTTCTCATATTTGCTTTTATAGAACCTATGTAGGAATCGAACCTATACCTCTATGCATATGGATAATGCTCTACCACTTGAGCTAATAGGTTTAGTTTAATGTTCTTTTTATTCACTTTATATTGATTTATAGAATTGGTTTTTTTTTAAAAAAAAATTTATTATGAATTTATTTATTTACCTTAGAGTACTTTTTATTTAATTTTATACACTCATTTTTCAAGTATATTTTTTTTAACAAGGTTATTGACCTGCCTGCCAAGGCTGCAGGTGCAGCTGGTGCCCTATGTGCCAAGGCTGCTGCTACAGCTACTTCCCTACCATGGCTTGTTGAAATTTTTGTCATCTAACTTGGGGTTGAAGGGTTCTTTATTAAAACTATAGTTATCACATCTAATTAAAAATCATTCAAAAAAAGGAAGTAAAAACCTAAGGGACATATGTTAGGATCCTAGTATGACTAGCAGCAAAGCAAAGTTTACAATAAGTTTGAGAAAGGTCTTCACAACACTGATAGGCCAAACATGATGACATTATATTTGATAATTTTGTTGAATATGATTCCTTGAGAATTTATCCTCGACAAATTTAGGGATGAGCTAAGAAGTATGTCCCACTCTTAAATTAACATCATTGATCTCCCAGCATAAATGTCATGATTCCTTATGTGGCATTACATCTCAAAAAACTAAAAGGATCTTCCTAATTATTCTTCACCATCAACCAAATACATCTCATTTACTTTAAATAAAACACTATTTACTTTACATGTAAAATCATTTAATTTACCAAAAATCAAAAACTCCAAAAAGCTACAAATTTATTAATTTTTTTTAAAAAACCTTAAATTATGTGCATAATCTCCAGATTATGCACATATGTAAGCTATAATATTCAGTAAAAAAAAGGTACGAGTTGCGAAAATCACTAATACAACTCAATTTAATAAATTCAACATGTAAATCTCATAAGAATCGTTCATAGGACCAATTAGCATAAATTCAAACCCCAAGATTAATCTAAATTAGCTAATGAAACTGAAAATCCGGAAAAAATCATTCACAATAAAGAATTACATAACTTCAAAATATAATTTTTCACTAGTATTGAAATATTTGTGGATTTTAGAAATTCAATATATGCTCGTGAAATAGTCTAATTTGATTAAATGAAAGTAATACTTAAACTGAAACACTGAAAAAAAATCAATAATCAATATCGAACAAATCAATAGTCTACATTGATCAAATTCATACGTTACATCTAGAAACTTGATTGAACAAAAATCACAAAGTGATTATTTTAGTCTTTTAATTTACTTGAAAATATAATCGATTTACTTCTACTAAATTTCTATCTACATTTGAAATTAATAAAATAATAGGATTCATTGGAGAATTTTGTCAAACAATTTGTGTGAATCAAAATTTAGCACAAATTAGTGAAATAAAAGTACCAAAATTGACAAAATCAATCAATATAACCATTCATAACCTTAAAAATTATAAACAAAAGTTCGAATTTCACAATAAAGAACATTAAATTGAAAAAAAAAATCAACGATCAGTGAATTGAAATTCGTGATTCAAAAAAAAAAATAAAATAAAAAAGAGAAAAACAAACATCTTACCTCAGAAGTTGCTTCATTGGAGTAGAGAAAGCTCAAAAGCCACTTCAATGAAGAATCCAAAGTCGGTCGTTTCTATGGAGGAGAGAGAAAATGCAAGGAGAGAGAAAGGAGAGAAAGTGTTCTAGATGGTTAGAAAAAGAATGGAATAAGTTTGAATTAATTTGAGCCGCTCATCTAGCGCACATCCAAGGTAGATCTAACGACTCTAATTAGTTCCTAGTTCCTATTATAGGATTGGTTCTCATTATAACTAGGTAATATTATATATATATGTATATATATATATATATATGTGTGTGTGTGTGTGTGCGCGCGCGCGTGTGTGTATATACATACATATAAAATATTGTGTGTGTGCAAAAGAAAACTCAAAGAGACAACATAATGACATACATTGTGTAGGAGTTTATAGGTACTAATTGTGGAAAACATGAATCACATTCATAAAGTACTTAATCCCAAGATCTCATTCATAACACATAAAGAATAAGAATTATACCTTTGAAGCGTGATTCCGCCTATGATCCAACAAGAACAATAAGGAGAACAAGAATCTTACGTGTGATTCCTCTACTAAGTCCACGAGTACGGATCAAACCTCCACTAATGCTAGTTAGTCGTGACTGAACACTTCAATCAACATTCAACAAAGATGTGAGTCACGAGCATACCACAAACCACCCAAACAACCACCACATGCACCACCTAGGAGGCCAGTCGTACGGTCAAGGGAGGAGAGAGAGAGAGAGGGTCGTGTGGAGAAAGTGAGAATTAAGGTTTCGGGAGTTGGTTGCTTGGTGCACAATTCACAGTGAATTAATTGTTATATCATGCAACCCGTGGCATGGATTATATGTATAGATCATATCTCCAAATAAATCCATGTCAAGCCCAAAACGTTTTAAGCTCATCAAACTATCCTAGCCAAACAATCAATGTGGCATGTCATATACTCACGAGGCCCAATATTGGACCTCTAACTTGTTTAACCCAATACTCTTGCGTGTGACCTCATAGGATCCATTCTATAAGGCTTTGGACTATTTAACTAGCCCAAAGATCAATTGTAATATCTAGCACAAAACAATGACGACCCTATAGAATAAACTTATTATCTCCATAATCGTGATCCTTGATATATCTAGTAATTGCACTTATCGAAGCTATAATTCTTTCAATCTCCCACTTGTCTGAGACAAGTATGCAATATTCAAATTCCTTAAGTCAATGTGTGTCGATTTGATAATATTATTGTATCTCATGTCGTGATCATATTAATCTACAAATCTTTTCTTGAAATCTAAGTTAGAATTACAAAACAAATGATTACTATGTAATCCATCTGCGCACGGTCATGCATTTTCTAAATTCTCCCTCTTCAAGCAGCCAAGATACATTCCTAATTAAATAGTGAAAGAAATAGTGTCCTTCGAACAAGTGTATTATTCTGATAGTGGGTTAAAAATTATTAGAAAGCTAATATCTTCAGTAAGGTCAAGTGATCAGAATGCCTGAGTGGAGGCCGCTTTCCATATTACTGATTAATGCATAATTAATATTACAGCTTAATCTTGACGAAACCCTTCAGGTCACACCAAATCAACCAACGAGCTAAAGCGACAAATTAATTCGGAAGGAATTAATGAGTCGGCCGAGTAATATTTATTCAAACTTCGGAAATTCGAGCTTAGAGCATTGAAATCGAGCGTCGGAAGTTGAGTCAAAAATAGTAAAAGACGTGATGTGCAAATAGTAATAAATCAACGTATTTCCAAAAATACCCCTAGCATCGGAGTGCTTCGAGCAAACTGAGTGCTAGGGGCACAATGCGTAGCATGGTGGCTAGCATGCGCACCAAACCGAGCCTTGGCTGGCTGGTGCGTGCTAGCAGCCCAATGCTAGCAGCCAAGTGCACGCACAAGGCAAGCCTTGGCACCAAGCCTCGGCAGCATCCTGCACTTAGATTGCGCGGCTTGCTGGCCGAGAACAGCAGCTGCCCGCAACACTTGGGTGCGGGGATGGCATGGCCGAGACTAAGGGGAGCAACAAATGAGAAGCCCACTTCGGTTCCTTGGTGCCCAAGTGGGAGTTGACATGTGGCGCAAGGTGAGGGAGAGAGTGGGGAGCATGTTTGGTCTCCTCTTCTCCAAGTGGTCC